TAACGAGTCTATTCCAGGGTAGGTAACGTTAAAACTAGAAATAACACTTCCTGGCCTGAAAATAAAGAAGACGTTTCCAAATACAAATCGTTGATATATTGTATTGTTAAGTGCGCTTCATCGTGTATCAATAAGATTTAAAGCTGCGTACATGACTCACATGAAACCACCTCAGGTTAAGGTCTGCTTAAAGGGGATGCTCATCTATCGTGAGTTAAACCCCACTGTTAAGTCAGGCTGGTTCCCTCTAAAAGTTGCCATGTTTCTAATGAATTCTAAACATAATTTACATAACGTACCTGAACTCCAAAACCACCACTGTAACATCTTCATCTCTTTTGTTGTAAAAATTGATGACCTAAAGAGAAAGACAAAAACAAACAAACAAACAAACTAAACAAACAAGTAAACATATTAATGGTAATTAATTTCAAACTAAACCTAGCCAAAATCTAAACTAGAAAGATGATAACTCCAACCCTAATCATGCATCCAGAATCCCGTGCCTCGATTCTCATATTTCGCATCCCAAAGCCTGTACTCTGTGACCTGATTCTCTCATCCTTAGCCCTATGTCCTGCTGCGTTTCTTTATTGCACTATAAACTTCCTTCCTGCATACTTACCTTTGTATACGCATTCCAGACATGAACCATTTTTGAAATTTTTAAAAAATTTGACTGCGCATACACCGGCATCGGTGCCGCCCTGTCAGAAGGACGCATCGGCATTTATGCTTACATAAGTAATAAAACGGACTAAAATTGCCGTAAAAGAAATGACCTCTTTCTTAATTGTTTCTTCAAGGTCCATGTAATCTTCACTTTCTACTCTAACTAGATTGCTGTTCCAGTCTCTACTTTTTAACTTGAGTTTGTAGTTTATCATTTCAGCTGAAAATAGAAAAACAAAATAGTTATCGACTGATACATTAAAATTTTTGGTCAAATAAATGGACCTTAGAAGGTTACCAGATATCTTAATCAAATAGTTACTGTCATAGAAAGTGAACTTGCACATCATAAAACAAAAGGCGAACCTGGACAACTTGCCAAATTACAGCTCTCCATTTCTGTGGGTAAACCTTCGCAGTTTTTCCCACCAAAAGCTGGTGCTGGGTTATCACATGTGCGTTTCCTTGTTCTAGATCCGCCATTACAGGGTTTGTTACAGTTGGGCCATTCATTCCAGTCGCTCCAGTTGCCGTGAACTTCAAAATGCCCGAAAGATTTAAGAATTTAATCTAATGCGACAAGAGTACATATTCATGAAAGGACCAGCCACTTCCAGAGTAAATTGACGCTGAAAACGTTTGATCTCGGTAATACAAGAAGCATATATATATATATCATGGGTGCCTGGGATAGCATAGAGTAAATCGGAGCCCTGAGGGATGTCTCTGGCTACAGAAGTTAAGATTTCAAGGTGTGATGCTTAACCAATGAGCTAAAGAGAAGTCGTTAGTTAGCTAAACCTAACCCTTCTTTATCCATCCACGCTCAAGACGCTTGTAAAATTGCTGATCGTAGCAGTATACTCCATGCTACTGATGCTTAGCTCTCCATAGATTATTTTGTACTAGCTGTGCGGTTGGGCATTAGAACGCTGTATCTAAAGAGGCTCGAATTCTCCTCTTTCTTACATTCATTAAAATTATATAGAACAACAACAACAACAACTTTTCGTTTAAACTTTTAAAAAGTTATCTTACCTGTCCTGTTCTCACATGTATCACCGGTGTATTCTGAGGTACAATTGCACGTGAAATCCTTTAGGTCAGCTGTCCTTATACAATTACCATCGTTTTTACATGGATTTGGGAGACAGGGATCGTCTGTTGATAGATATACCCAAAAGAAAGCTCTTAACCTTCTTTTTAAACTTGTTGCAGCTTAAAAATGATCTTAGATAATGATGCCTAAGCTAAAGATTGGAAATTTCTATCTTTTGGGTTTCAAAACCTAACGACAGATCTGAAAGTAGAAACGGAGTCAAGTTTATTGCGTTCAAATGTTAGTCGCAATAATGGCAGACGAGCATAATCTCTATGCGACATAAATGTAAATCTTAAAAGGTTCTTTTAAAATTCTCTGTTTTGTACGTAATATTTTGTCATTAAATTTTTAGAGATTCTATGTATAAAAAATGTACGTATACATATCTATGAAATGCACATCGTTATGATTTTTAAGGACAGATAGAACCACCACTCAAAGCTATGGCACGTCCCGGAATGATGTTGTTGTTTCGTAAATATTATGCTCATGTTTTCTGTAAAGTAAAGTTATTTATTATTTGGGTAATCACGATAGCACCTTTTAGAAGAGAACAATCAAAACCGACAAATTCTGAAGTGCAGTTACAACTGTATCCAAGAAGGTTGCTCTCTGCTGTGCACATCCCGTCATTGTTGCAAGGGTTGTTAGAGCATCGGTCACCTGATGAGGAATTTTGATTTAGAAAAACGCAAATATTTTGAATACCTTGCATTACAAATATATAGTTCTGACTTCCATAAGAGACTCCTAAATAGTTATGTTCTCACTCAAATAAGGCTCAAAAAGTAGAAAATAAAACTAATAAATCGATGCAACCTTATGACTTGTTGTTGTATGGAGAAATAAACAGAACAGTTTACGGGTAAAAAAACAGATGGACTGGCGTCAATTCTAGGATTTATGAATTCACTAAGTCTTTAAAATTTGGCACAATTATTGATTGCACTTTTGGTGAAAGTCTCATACCTTGCTCGACGCCACAATTAAATCCAATATACCCTGAAGGGCAACTGCATTCAAAACCCAGCGGGTTACTCTCTGGTGTACAGGTTCCTCCATTCAGACAGGGCTGGGGTGAACACGGGTCACCTACAGAATAAATAAGGAAAATGCAAAAAGTCAAATTCAGAGGTAAAAACTTCATATACGTCCAACCTAATGCATCAAGTCGAATTTAAGATCTGGAATGTTGTCTTTGTTGAAAGAGGAAAACTAAACTGTCCTCCGGAAAAACCCTCAGAACATGGATAAGAATTGAAGCCAAACTCAGCCACTATGTAAAAACAGGTACGTGAATCGAACCCGAGCCAAAATGATTGCGCGGTGTTTCGCATACAGTTCGTCATACCTGCTTCTACCACCGAGAGTGTCCTAATAGCTTATTGTACTTTCAATGAAGTTGTCTTTTGCGTTTGGTTTAATTTATTTCCATAGCATTATCTATAAGCATTCATCTCTCCAATTGTAATCTATGAGCTTGCTAATTCGTCATTGAAGAGAATCAGTCCATTCCCTTACACAACTTATCTGCCCATATAAGAATATCAAGAGGTTACTTATTCATTTCCTTTACGTTTCGCAAGATAAACAGCATCGATGCTACGCGATTGGACCTTTCTAATACGAGGATTTGTGCTCGGTATCTCCTTCCACATCCTTCCACCCTCCATGGCGAGGATAAAGTAAATGTTTATAATACCTGACTGAGATCCACAATTATAACTTGAGTAAGAAAATGGACAATCGCACTCAAAATACGGCCATTCATGGATGTATTCACAAGTTCCTCCGTTGAAACAAGGACTAGGGGAACACTGATCAGCTGTTGATAAGGAGGAGAATATTTAATCTGAGATCTGTTGTCATTTTACTTTCTATTTTTTTTTTTAGTTCTGCAAGTCCAGATATTGTTTTAGTTTAGTGGTAAGTCAAGAGAGTCATATGTCATTTTCTTATTTTGAAATGCTGTCAGCATATCACTTTTTCATTTTATCACTCTATCACTCTGTAATTCCCTCATTCAGCCATTTTTTCATCCTGTCTTTCTGTTATCATAATTTAAAATTCTGTTATTCTGTCATTATGTCATTTTGTCTTTCTATGATTCTGTCAATTTTCCCTTCTGTGTATTTTTCAATCCTTCATTTTCTGGCATCATGTCGTTCAGTACGAATGTCTTTCCTTCTTTCTTTTTTCTTTCTGGACACCTTTCTTTCCGTTTTTTTCAGTCTGTCAGTCAGCCTGTAAATTTATTAGTTCATTCCTCCATCCGTGTTTTTGTTTTGTTTTTCTCTTGTTTGATGATGTAATCACATGATTACTCCATCCTTTATCTGTATCTTTAATTATTGGTCTTTGCATATGTTGGTGGTCTGAAGAGGGACATAATGGAGTTCCTTACGTATTTGATACCAGCAATTATGGCCCAGGTATCCAGCTGGACAACTGCATCTGAAGTACGGCCAGTAATTAAGGAATAAACAGGTACCTCCATTTAGACATGGCCGACTTAGTGAGCATACATCACCTGTTATGAGATGGAAAAAGAGGGTATTATCTTGATTTAACCCCACATGCCGAGTTTTAATTGAAACTGGAGAAGTCCCTTACCAATCTCACATCTATCACCATTGTATCCTAGAGAACAACTGCAAGTGTAACCTCCGGATGTTAAGTTGCGGTTGCAGGTTCCACCATTCCGACAGGGATATGACAAACACGAATCTACAGACATTTCAAACGATAATTAAAAAGTTTGCAAAATAATTGGGGAGAGAGTTTAGTGTGCGTCTGGGAGAAAAGCGTTGTTAATTAGAAAGATTCACAATAATATTACTGTCTGTGACTGTGTCGAGCACCTAAGATTTGTGTACCACTTCTCTGCTCACAATCTATGATGGATGGCGAGTTATGTAAAGTAGCCTAACTGTGAACAGCTATAAACTTAATAACACGCTTGAATGACTACTAGATTCATGCCAAAACGTTAAGATTATTCGCTCTCGATTTCCATGCCTGGAAATTGATTCGGGCCTTGCCCTCGTCATATATCACATGAAAGAAATCTCGACACCAGTGTTATAGAGTTGACGACCATCAGGCTCGAATCAGCTATTGTGCATTTAAACCCAGAACAAATAATATAATTGTTTCAGTATAGATCAAGTAGATGTACAGAACTCAGCAAAAAGAAAGGCCCATTTTTTCCATTGTACTATGTTTATAACCATAACTGCGTAGGGCTACCCTGCCAGCACCGTTGTCAATCAGTCTCCATCATTTTTGAGAGATCGCTGGAAGATGGATTATTTCCATTTCTACCCGAAATTTTCTTTAAATTGCTTTCAGATGTTATGTTTTCCCTAAAACTCCTTATTACCTCGACATCCATAGAGCTCTATCCTCAACGCTATGTTATTGTGCCACTTCGTTGGACTGAAGCGAAAGACACTCGCTCTGACAGGTGGGTTCAGTTCATTGTGGGAAACGCTGCTACTGTCTTTATTTGCAGTAAATGTCTGAAATTGGAAAGATGATAATATGTGTAAGATTGATTACAAGTTAAACCGTAAAAAGCCACGAATCAATCAATCGCCACTGTTAAAATGGGGGATGGGATACTCCATCTTGTAGCATATCCTAAACCCTCCTTATCATATGAAAATTAAAGTTGCTATCACAGCTACGATGAGGATTGACGAATGAATAGCAAAGCATTCACCATTATCAATCCAAGGTCCTGTTTATATAACAAACAAAATAATTCACAGTTGCCTATAGGTTTTTGATTCTAGTCAAGTGTTCAACTTTTTTTCAACGAGTGAGCATTGTAATCGTTGAACATTGAAAGTTCAAGAGAAATTTTATACCATCGCCCATGGATTATTCTCTATTTCACCCACCTTGGCGTGGACATCCCCATGGCCCTTATAATACTGCACTCGCACTCTAGCTCCCCAGTACCTCAGCAGGAATTTTTTGACCCATGCTTTTCTTTTACCCTGTTTTCCTTGGGTGGCTACACCTGTGACCCAGGTCAGCTCGTTCCCTAAATAAACCTGCAACCATTGATTTCTATGGTCCAGCAAAGGTACCCAAGACATTGGCTCCTTATTGTACTCATAGTGCAGTCTTGCAAAGCGAACGCGAGAAGAATTGTCTTTTTCCGAAGATGCAATAATCTGATGGTCTCGAATTGCACCACTTTGCATTCCAAGAGGCCCGTGACACTCTGTTGTTAGGAAAAAAATTGCTCTGTTCGAGTATAAGAGTAAAAATATGTCATAAAAAGGTACAAAAATCTTCAAATGTTCTTTGTCAAATGTCGGGTGATAGCATTTTTTTTAACGAAACATTCACTACTCAGCAAGTCGAAAATTTTCTGTGCCACAATCAATCCTAATGTGCGATATTTCTAACTTTCTGTTGGTCTGTCAACCAGTCGATCTTTCCGTCAGTTCTTCAGTTTGCCGGTCTTTTCCTTAGATGTCACTTTTTTGGTCTGTCAGTCGGTCAGTGTGCTATTTAGTCAAGCAGTAAGTCTGTCAGTCTGACATCCTTATAGTTTAACAAGGTAATTTGGTGTTATCAAATGATTTGAAAACGTAAATTGGTCGGCGTTAAGAGTTTCAAAGTTGGAGTTTGGTGCGTTAGCCCTTTGTCAGAGTCTGTCAGTCTGCCAGACTATTAATCTTGATAAGTTGGTCTGTTTGGCGGTCAGTCTCTGAGGCAGGTGAGTCTGTGAGGCGGGTTCTTTCAACCTATTCTATTTTTTCCTGCTGGTTTTGTTCATTCATTTGTCTGTCCCCACGTTAATTCGTTCATTCATTGAGAATCCTTGCTAGAAATCTTTTATCGCTGTAATGCCATGGAGGGACTGATGATTTTTGTGCAATATACTAGTAAAAAAGAAATCCTATTACGTTTTGTGCTACAATCGTTCCCAGTGTACCACATGAGGCATGTGCACTTGAAGCCATCTGGCGTATTAATGCAGCTTCCGCCGTTCTGACAGGGGTTTGAAGAACATAAGTCTGTATGAAATACAAACACGAAAGAGGATCAACGTTAAATAAATAAATAAATAAATAAAATATATCTGTATAATATGTTTAAGAAGGCGGGGGAAGATTGTAACTCCCACCCCCAGTACGCTTTAGAAAGCTCCGTGACATTAAAGAGGAAAAAGACGAGGGATGTAACATTTATTGCAACTCCATGGTACTTAGGCTAGCAATGGCAGGAATGAGAAAACCTCCAAGAAAACAGTTGATATATCAACATGTCTAAAAAGAGACAAGGGCTGCAAAGTGCTACTATAAGTTTCACAGTAAATGCGTTTTACATTGATGTTGAAAAAATTGTATTGCCCACTCCACTGTACCCTGAAATCTTTGGCCCTACCCTGCAAAGTGGCACACAGAGAACCAGTGTACATCGGTGGACATGCACAAGCATAGGAGCCACTAGGGTCACTAGTGCAGGTGCCATTATTCAGGCATGGATTGCTTGAACAGGGATCTGTACAACATGAATAAAATTCGTTAGTGGTAAGCCATGAAAATAAAGCAAATTACAATCACCAATAGTTTTAAAAGCTCTTACCCCAAACGCACAGGAAAATTTAAAATATTTCACTGGTGAAGGCAGCGGAGCAGGGTACATAGGTTTTAATTATTCTGGCTTTCAGTCAGCTTGTCAGTCAACCAGCTAGACAGTTATTCAGTGAGTAACTCGGTCAGCGGATTTTTCTGTCTATTTGGCTGTCAGTCAGTCAGTCATTCTTTCGGTCAGTCAGTCGGAGTCAGTAAGTCAGTGAGTCCGTGAACCAGTCAGTCAGTAAGTTATTTGAAGAGTCAGCCAGTTGGTGA